CCTTCCCTCTCCTTGCCTCTGACGACCGCGCGCTGGTCTCCTCCGTCTCCCGGTTCCCTCCCGTTCCTCCTCCTCTCCCTCCCTCCTCCTCGGGATCTGCCTTCTGAGAGTTGTGATTTTTGTCTCTTTTTGGAGTGCGGTACCGTGTCCGAGGTACCCGGACGGGATGTCGCCCCCCGCCAGGGACCTGCGACAGAAAGCGTCCTGATCGGCGCCGCACCCCGCCAGTTTTTCGCCATTGCCCGTCTTACGGGAGCGTCCGTGGCAGGAGGCAGGGGCCTTCTCAGAAGGACCCGCCGTTTTCTAAGAATGCCTCTTACAAGCGGGGAGGGCTTCTGAGAACACCATGCCTTCTTGGAAGCCCGCTGTCTTCTCTAGGCCCTGCTTTTGAGTGTGACCTAAGCCAGGGGCTCAATCAACTCGGCCAGCAATACATGTGTCGCCGCCAGAGCAGCGCGCAACTCAACTCGAACGATGCGATCCTGAGGCCACCTTGTGGATGCAGTGGGACAGCTTCGGGGCCTTCTCGGGCAATTTCGGGGCCTCTCGGAGGCATCTCGGGGCCTCTGAGGCTGAGGTCCGCGCGGGGTCCTGGCGGCGGGGGCGTGCCGAAGCAGAAATTGAACGCATTGCCCAGCATTGGCTGTGCTCCGCGTGTGGCTCTGGCGGCGGGGGCGTGCCAAAGCAGAAATTTGAAACGCTCCGCGTATCCCCAACAGCCCCCATGATGCGCGTCCGACGCTGGCACACTCCAGCTCAGACCGCATCGGCGAGGTTCTGCCCCCCCCCTCAATGTAAGTGTCTTCCGCGGCGGTTAGCTGCACCCCTCTCATGTGCAGATGTTCTCGGCGTGCAGCTGCTATCCAGTCACTTGTATCTTGCGGCGGTTAGCTGCACCCCCTTTTTCCACTGCAAGGTGCACTCTGAGGGTGGCACCCACTACTGGACAAACCAGGTGACAAGAGACGCCCCGGCGCTGCTGCAGGCTGGCCGCGGTGAGGGACGGCGCGCCTCCCGCTTGGCCCGGTGGGTGTCCCCCACTGTGCCTCAGGGGTTCGCCCGCGGCGGCTGGGGAGGCCAGGGCGGTTGACCCGACGGACAGGCAGCTCGGAGGTCTCCCCCCCACGGGCCGACCCTCTGCGTTGTCTGCGGCTGGCATCAGTGGGCCTCTCCGCAGCAGGACGGCACTGTGGTGCTCGGGCAGTCGCTGGTGTCCACCGACACTGGGGGTTGTGTACCCGAATGCCTCGCTTTGAGTGTTGCAGCTTGGTACAGCCCGCGTTTTGCGCATCGTCGCAACCATCCCCGGGCCTTCCACGCAGGCGCCGGACTCGATGCGATGGGTGCCGCCGGCCCCCCCAACTCAGCGGCGGAGCTCGAGGGCTGCGCGCTGAGTGGTTCAGCCTTCCGCGTCTTTTGCCCATTGTTTTCCACCGCCAGCAGCCTGTCTCCCGGGCTCGTGCTTCGTTGCTAGCCGGGCTGGCTGCTTGGAGCTTGGCGCCGCAAGGGCAACTCACCCCGTTGCACTCGCACCCGTGGCCGCTTGTGCACTTTGGTTTACTGGGCGGCGCCCAGGTGCGTCTGCTGGCGAATGCAGAGCATTTTGTTTGGTGCATGTGCAACTGCACGCTTGTTGTGCAAGTGTGATCCGGCCTGCCAACGTGGCGGCTGGGGTCGCCAATTCGCTTTGTGCCGCCCGCCCCGGACATTGCCCTTCGCCGCCAGACCGTTGTCGCGCGGCCGCAGACCAAAAAAAAAATATCCCCACCAGCTTGCCCGAGCTTCCTTGGGCGTTCCAGTTCAGCCAGCCAGCCCCCCGCTGCCGCTGCCCCACCTGCTGCCTTTGTGAGCTGGCCCGGCCGGCTGGTGCTGCGCCCTGCAGCTAATTAGGTTTGCCCGTCGGCCCGGACTCTCTGTTCGCCGCCTGCGCTCTCGCTGGTGGCCGCAGCCAAAAAAGTATCCCCACCAGCCCACCAAGAAACGATATCCAGGCGAGCTGAGGTGATCAGGGACGTGCGGGAGCAAAGAGGGGGACGGCCGAACCGTGCGAAGGAGGGAGGAGGAGAAGGAGGAGGTTGGATGGATGGATGAGGGAGTGGGGAGAAGGAGGATGGATAGGAGGAGGAGGAGGAGGAGGAGGAGGAGGAGGAGGAGGAGGAGGAGGAGGAGGAGGAGGAGGAATAGGAGGAGGAGGAAGCGAAGGAGTAGGAGAAGGAAGGAGGAGCAGGAGGAGGAGGAGGAGGAGGAGGAGGAGGGCAAGCAAAAGGGCCAGAGGTCTCTCGGATGCCTCTCGGAACATCTTGGGGTATCTCTTGGGCGCTTCTTGGTGGCATCTTGGGGCGTCTTGGGGGTTTCTTGGCGGTCCTGGCTGGAGAGCACTTGGGCGTCTTGGGTGCCTCAAGGGGGCCTCTTGGGGCCGCTTGGGGTCCTCTTGGGGGCCTCCTGGGGGCCTCTTGGGGGCCTCTTGAGGGCTGCTTGGGGCCATCTTGGGACCTCTTGAGGCCTTCTGGGCGCTTCTTGCGGCCATCTTGGAGGGGATCGATCAAAAAAGAGGGGAGCTTATTTTAGCGTTGCCCCCCAAGAGGCCAAAACGGGGCCAAAACCTTTTGTAAAACCAATGATTTTGGCTTCTTCGCCGAGGCCCTGACCGTTCGCGGAAAAACCCCGTCCAGGTCGCGGAGAGGGGGTCGGGGGAGGGGTCAAGACTCCCTCCCCGCCCGCAAGCCATCTCGCTCATTCCCACCCGCCCCCCCAACACATACGTAGCACCCGAGCCTGGCCAGAGCCGCAGCATATTCAGCAGTCGTCTTTGGATGGGCAGCTACTGGAGGCGAATCCGCCGCCGCCGCCGCCGCCTCCGCCGCTCGCCGCCGCCGCCCGCCGCCGCCGCCGCCGCCGCCGCGCCGCCGCCGCCGCCGCCGCCGCTGTCCGCCGCCGCCGCCGCCGCCGCGCGCCGCCGCCGCCGCGCCGCCGTCCGCCGCCGCCGCCGCCGCCTCGCCGCCTGCCGCCGCCGTCCGCGCCGCCGCGCGCCCGCCGCCGCCGCCGCCTCCGCCGTCGCCCCCGCTGCCGAATCGCCGCCACCGCAGCCGCTGCCGCCGCAGCCGCTGCCGCCGCGCCACCGCTGCCGCCACCGCCGCCGCCGCCGCCGCCGCCCCCGCCGCCGCCGCCACCGCCGCCGCCACCGCCGCAGCCGCCGCAGCCGCCGCAGCCGCTGCCTCCGCCGCAGCCGCCGCCGCCGCCGCCAAGTGTACTCTGTAGTGTTTTTGAGAGGGATGGTGGGGGAGACCGCATCGGGTGCGTTGCGCATGCTCCGAATTTGGAGGCAGAGTGTGTTTTGTATTGTTTTAAACACGGATGGTGGGGGGCCCTCATTGTCCCTGGTTGGGTCCCAGTCGCCTGGGGGAGGGGGTGTATATCAATAGGAAGCAGTGATCAAGACACCTACCAGGAGCAAGCCGTGTAGCTCACTCCCACCCGCCTCCCGACACAAAAGCAACACCGGACCAAAGGACCAAAAATTCGAACTTCCGAACAGGCTCTGCCAACAACCAATGCAAAGGTCCCGACGGGACAATCGTAGTCCCGCCAGCCACGGCTCGAGTGCGACAGGAGAGGTGGGCGCGCCCGCCAGCTGGGTGCTCTCGGCACACGTCGCGCCGCGCGTGGCCCTCGCGCCTGCCTCGCCAGGATGGCGGAAAACAAAGGATCGGCGCGCTGCTTGGCAGGCCTCTTGGAGCCCTGTTGGCAGGCCTCTTCGAGCGCTTTAGGAGCCTCTTGAAGGCAGTTTTGGGGCCATCTGGGGCGTTTTGGAGCGCTCTTGGGCCGTCATGGAGGCCTCTTGGGCCCTTTTGGGCGCTTCTTGGGGCTATTTTGGCTCGTCTTGGGGCTCTGTGGCCTCTGGAAAATCCACGCGACCGAGCCCAAAAGCGCCCAGATGCTCCGATGTGGAGGCAGAGCGTGTTTTGTATTTTGACAAGGGTGGTGGGGGAGGACCTCATGGTGTGCGCATGGTTCCGGGTTGGCTGCCAGCCTGGGCGGGGGGGGGTGTTCATCAGTAGGGAACAGTGGTGAGCCCCCTCCCCGAAGGGTAAGAAGGGGGTGTTCACGAGCACGGAACAGTGATGAACCCCCCGAAGAGGAAGAAGGGGGGTGGAAGAGGAGCCGCCCCAGACCACCTACACCCAAAGGGCTGGTGGGATTGAGCGGAGGACTCGTCATGAGCGTTCGGCGGCCGGGGCGCACCGAAGAAGAAATGCAACGCATTACAGTCGGGGCGTTGACCTAAGGAACACAAAATAAGGAACGAGGCTTCTTTTTCCCATAAGTTAAGGTTCGACTACCCATGGGAAACCTCAGGAAAACATGAGACAAACTGTGAAACAGTCAAGGAACACCGAGCCCCTCCCCAATGAAAAGGGTTCCTTCTTCAGCGCCCCGGCTGTATTCGGCATTGTTGTTCGAGACGTTGCTTTGCGTGGGGGTTGGCGGCGGGGCGGGGGCGCGCCGAAAGAGAAACGGATTGTAGTATGAATCATGCCCGTTCGGAGTTTCAGCCCGTTTGCTGTTTCAGTTTGTTCGTCAAAGGGGGGGTTGGCAGTGCGTTGCTGTTTGCTTGCTTGCTGATCTGAAGGGGCCCATGTTTGCGACTGATTTTGCTTGCCTGCTCCTTCCCGCCCCTCCCTTGAGGGGCCAGACTTTGGAATTCTGCTCGCTTGCTGATTTTCGGAAGCGTCCTTGCGTGCAGGGTCGCCTCCCTGCTTGTCCCTCTGTGGCGCCCTCCTCTCGGGCCGGGCGAAAGGAGGCGATTGGGAAAGGGGGGGGTACGAAATCTGCTGCATGCAGCTGGTTTAAGCCTCACCGAGGGGCCCATTCCTCGATACATAGCCGCCTCCGGCGCAGGGAGGCGCCGGGAAAATCAGCTACGTGAGCTGATTCTCGAACCCCCCCTTTGCTATCCCCCCCTTTCGCCCGACCCGATCCTCCCCGAGGCCCAACCCCAGGCATCCCGTCCCTGGGCGGCCGCGGCCGCGCGCCCGCGCGAAGCCTGCCATGGCCATGCGCCTCGGCTCGCTCTGGGGCCGCTGGTGGTCCCGGGGGCACCGGGCGCAGCCGCTGGCGGCCGCCGCCGGAGCGGCCGCGGGTGCGTGCCTGGCCGCGCAGGCCCCAGGGCCGCTGCGGGCGGAGGTGCAGGACGTTCAGGAGGGAAAAAAAAACACAGACACAATTGATCGTGGATTCCTCCGAAAATATAGGAGAATATGGGAAGTGGGGGGGAAGACATCTTTCTTTGTGTGTATTTATTTGTGTGTCCTGGGGCCCCTTCAGACGGGCCTGCCCGGAGCCCGGGCGTCCAGGGCCGGCAGGGGTGGGCCGAGTCTTGTCCAGGCCTGGGCCCCCGGAGGCTCATGCCAGCGGGGCCCAGCGCCCACAAACAGCAGCGCACGGCCGGAAGTCCATGCGGAAGAAAGGGCCGAGGGCCTCGCGCGTGGACAGTTAAGAACAAAGTCGTGGCGAAGGACCCAACCATACGCAGCTGTAAGTGTCGCAGTTCTGAGAATCGTTGTCGGTGGAGCTCCTGGTGGGGCCACGAGACGTGTCAGGGGCGTGCCGAATCGGGTGCGGGTATTAGTACGCCATGCGGACTTTGCTACTGGAGCCGTCAGTGGAGCTCCTCATAGGGCTACGAAACGTGTGAGCGGTGTGCTGAATCGGGTGCGGGTACGCCATGCAAATTGTGCCGCTGCGGCCTTTGGTGGAGACCCCATGTGGCCACGAAAGATGTGAAGGGCGTGCCGAAATGAGACCCCGACACCATGTGGACCCTGGCATTTGGGCCTTCGCTGGAGCTCCACACGAAACGTGTGAGGGGTGTGCCGAAATGGGGCGCCGACGAAATGCGGACCCTGGCCATTCGGCCTTAGCTGGAGCTCCCTATGTGGCACGAGACGTGTGAGGCGTGTGCCAGAATAAGGCGCCGACGCCGTGCGGACCCTGGCATTCGGGCCTTAGTTGGGGCTCCTTAAGTGGCCACGAAAGGTGTGAAGGGTCTACCCAAATCAGGCACCGCCGCCATGGGGACCTGCAGCTCCCTGTGGGGCCACGAAGCGTGTGAGGGGTCTCCCGAAGTGGACACGCGGAGGGTAGAGGCGGGGATCGGGGGAGGGCGCAGGAAGAAGGAGGAGACGCGGGGCGCTCCCTCGTCAAAACGAAGACCCAACACCGCAGGATGGTTGGGAAATCAGACGCCCGAGGAACGGGTAACGCCGCCCGCCCCTTCGGAGCTTCTGAGGGTTCGCCGGGCGCCTCTGGGCGCAACCCCGCAGCGCGAGGCCTACACCTTCGAGGCCCCGCGTCGACGGATCCGCCCGCCCCTCTGGGGTGAATGAGCGCGTGATGGTCGTCGTGGCCCAGCATTCTTCGGCGGCGAGCACGTGGGGAAGTGGAAGGGGCGGGCCTTCGCAGAAGGCTCAGAAGTCCCCCGGCCTTCCGAGAAATTCTAGACGCTTCGCGTATCCCCACCAGCCATGGTCACTACGAGGCATCGGCGTCCGGTGACTGGATTAGTTTTGAGTTCATTTGTCGCCTACTTAGGGCAAGTACCTTGAGTACAGCAAGGTCAGGGTTATCCCCTATTTGTTCCACTTTTGAGCTGCGGCTTTTCTTTTCTTCTTCCCGCCTCCTCGGTTCCCCTCTCGCCGCCGTTCTTTTTGTTCCGCCGTCTTTCTTCTCTTTGCGTTCTCTTTTGCTTTTGTTCCTTCGTCGGTTCGGCCCTTCTTGCTTTGCTCGCTGTGCCGTGCAGCCGTTTCGGCGTAGCTACCCCTCGCTTGTCTGCCCGATGTTGTGATGCCGCGCGGGTGTCCGCTCGCGGTCGCGATCAAAAGTATCTCCACCAGCCCATCCAGAAACGAAGCCCATGAGAGCTGACGGGGGGAGATAGGAAGAGACACGCATATTCAAACAGCGAGGGAGGCTCGGGAGGCTCCGTGTCCATCTCGAGCCGTCGTGGAGCGGTCTTGGGGCCGTTTGGAGCATTTGGGGAGCCATCTTGAACCAGCTTGGGCTATCTGAACCATTTTGGAGGTCATGCTGGGCTCTCTGCGGCCGCTCGGGTGCTTTTTGGGGGCCTCTCGGGTGCCTCTTGGAGGCCCCTTGGGGCTTCTTGGGGCGCTCTTTGGGCCCCCTTGGGAGCCTCTTGGGAGCCCAGGAGGGCCTCTTGGGGCCATCTTGGGAGGTTATCGATCAGAAGAGGGGGTCCCTTTATGTTGGTCCCCCCCTCGGGTCCACGATCCTCGTGAGGGGTGTCAAAAATTGGCCCTCCCAGGAGCCGAAAAAGGATCCTCGAACTCGTCGCGACCCCCCCCCCGTCCAGTTCCAGGGAGGGGATACGGGAAGGGGTCAGCCCCTCTCCGAAGGGGAAGAATGGGTTGTGGAATAGGAAGAGACCCTCTTTAGACCACCTGTCGCCCAAAAGGCTGGTGGCATTTGCTAAGCCTTCTCCGAAGACACGGAAACCTTCTCACTTCCCCCCCTCGCTCGCCGCCGAATTGCACTGTCGCTGCCACTGGGTAGGAGCCAGATGACCTTCTTGACCTCGGTGTTTTCGGCCCGCGCTGGATGGCGATGAAGTCTTCGAGCTCCGGAAGGCCATCTGCCTGTGGCGTTGTCTTGGGGAAGATCGGGCCTTGAAGACAGGGCTGCAGGAGGTCTCAATCAGCGAAGCTTCTTGGGGGCGGGGACCCGGATGGGCGGTGCTATTGGGCTGTGCCACGCCATCCTCCTGCGGGTGGAGGGGGCCCGCTGGTCGCCAGTCGTGGGCGTTGCGAGTGGGTCGCGCCACACCGTCCTCCTGAAGGGGCAGCCTGGTGGGGTGCGCCATCCTATCCTCTTGCGAGTGGACGCGGGTGGGGGATCCTGGAGATTCTTGAATGTCTTTGGATGGAGACTCTCTGGAAGTACCCAGGGGCCCCGTGGAAGCGTTGCTAGGCACTTGGTCTCAGTGAGAAGTCCAAGATCCTTGGAGTCGTTGGTGGTTCTAGCGGTTGATGCCGCACCATCATCCTGCGCCACTTCCCCAGGCAATTTCTCAGGGCGTCCAGCGCCCAGACATCGGGGATCGACTGGGATCGGGGATCGGAGCCCATTCGGTGCTTGCTCAGGCTTCTTGTTGGAAGCACGAGGGAAGATGGAACGCCTCCAGAGGCACCCTGAGCACTCCCACACATCCTGAGGCACCCCACAGCTGTGCGACACCCGAGGCCACTGGGCGCTCCCGCGTGCCCTCCGCAGGCCTTCCCGGGGCCAGGCGGAGGCCCGAGGCGCCCCGCATTCGAGGTCCGTCTCGGTGGCGCTGTCCGCTCGTTGTTGAGAGCGAGTTGGCGGTGCCACGCCACGCCGCGAGGCGTGCAGATTTCAGGGGAGCGCCTCCTGTGTGGAGGGCTCCGCAGCAGGATCTCGATCCCTACGAGGTCTCCCCGGGTCATTCCCCCGGTGGGCGGGAGCCTCTCTGGAAGGGGGGAAGATCCCGCAGTTGGATGTCGATGCTTTCCGAGGCACCCCCGGGCTTCCAATGTAGCTCCGACGGAACTTCGGCGCCCTAGCAGGAGGAGGACGACGACGATGAGGAGCAGGAGGAGGCGGTCAATAAGCAGGAGGAAGGAGGACCAGGATGAGGAATGGGATGGAAGAACGATAAAGGGGGAGTGCACCGCACTAAGAATCTCGGCACTAACTGAAATACGAATCAGGGATGGGGGGAAGAGCCAGGGAATATGCCCCAGGATCACCCGCAAAACTATCCTTTGGATTGCGCATCTCGAATGCTCTCCTTCATTCGAATTCGATCATCTACTCATAGGTCGGGCCGCCCCTGGAGCCGAACAACTCGTCCTCACAACCGTGGGGGCTGAGGTCCCTGATGGGTCGGGCGGGTCATGGCACAGCTGTGACAGGAGAACAGCCTTATCCAAGAGTGCTTGCACACGCCTACTGGGACACCTGCCCTAACGTACCATCCCCAGGACCTCTTTGCCTTTACGAGTGGGGAGCTCTCAGGGGCGGCCGAGCTTCTCAAGTCGAGATTGAGCCCACCCTCCACGTTTGAGACAAACAACGGTCTGCTCTCGAACGTTGCACAACGAGGGATCATCACCATTCTCTCGAGCCAGGCCCACCACGGCGATGAGGGAATGGCCAAGAGGGTTCGGGAGCAGCCTGCGCAGGAGACTGGGGACTCCTCGATATCCGTCAAGTGGCGCTGCTTCTGGCGACCCGTCCGCCACCACCATGCACCCGATGCACTGAAGACCTGGCTCTCCTTGCTTCCAGGAGTGCCAGCTGTGCTACCGCCTTGAGTGGCCTGCTCGGAAGCGAGTGGGCCTCCTCCGCCTGACCTCGTGTTGGAATCGTGGCAGCATGTGTACAGTGAATTTCATGGAACTCTGTGCTCGGGCGGCGGCGAGATTTACATCATGAATCACCGCTGGGTCCGCGGCTGGGTGCATGGCCAGGGCAGCCTTCGCTTGACGGCCGACTGCAACATTGGCTATGGCCAATCACGCGATCTGAACCTTCGAGCTGCCCGATCTCTTCTTCAGAACGGAGAGCTTTTGACATGACAAACTGACGGGACGAGGGGACCCCCATCAAGACTCTGGGCGAAAGGCTTGATGCCAGCAAACTTACCCATCGGTCGAGGTATTTTTGGATTCCTAGGTTCCAATCTGCTTTAGGCGCCTTCCTACTTCAATGATCGAGTGGCTTCACCTTTTCCGTTCTCTTTGAGGGGCGGGCGGACACCCAATCTAAGTTGATCGTTTTCCTACTTCATGTTTCTAGTTTCTTTCTTGGACCGATGTGCACTCGAAACTGATAGCTGCCGAGCGATGCCCTGCTGGGCAGCTCCGACGGCGGCCCTGCGGCCTGATGGCCGCTTCGGCCGGCCTGCCCGCACACCTGGCCGCGGACAGCAGTGCCCATGTGGTCGGCCATGGCTGGGGTCTGGGGCCGAGTGTCCTGGGGCCCGAGGCGGGGACTTGGTCCATGCCCACCGCCTGGGGGATCGATCCTCGCGGACCTCCACAGGCGGTGGCCATGGATACGTTCGGGCCCTCGGGGGCCAACATATATCCATGTCCACCGCCCGCTGGGGCACCAGGACGTCGGTTCCCAGGCGGTGGATATGGATAAAACTC